TAACTGCATTGTGACTTTGTCCTCCATTCAGCATTTCCTCTTGATCCAGCCCTCTCTGCTCATTTAAAATCCTCTTTCTCTACTGCCCAGGCAACTAATGGGAACACTTGAAAGGAGTACATTGGAATTGTCAAGTTTGGAGGCAACAAACCTAAAAAATACATGGCCGTAAATGTAAAATGAAAGTGAGGCTGGTGTGGAGGGTATTGAAGCAGAATTAAATTTGGAAGAGACTGCAGAGCAAATGAAGTTGTGGAGGAGTATGAGGTTGAAGATTTTCAATTGGATTTCAATGGGATGAAAATCAAGTTGAGTCTGCAAAAGGTTTGCATTCCTAAATATTTAAGATGTAAAATTACTCACAATAATAATTGAGTGGTGTTTGTGCGCCATGAATTGAGTTCTTCAAGACAAGCAGGTCTTTGTAAAATTGTGCTCGGATTGACTATCTCAGCTGCTATTGTGGTACAGAAGTTATTTTTTCTCATTGTCCCTGAACAACGAGAAGAAAAAATCAGACTGGCTTCCTCTTCCTGATCACTAACTACTGACAGTCATTGAATATAAACATGTGCAGTACTAAGATGAGGATAGAAGCAAATTTGGCTACAATGTGCCCTGAAGTTAGACAGGTAATATTACATTGCCAATCATACGTTAAAAATTGCAAGTGTGCAAGTTATCAGATATTGCTGGCAGGAAAAAACCACTTTCAAGAATGATTGCTGTTGTCAAGGAAATTAAAAGTAATGTGACTTACTACCATGTAAATGAGAAGTGAATTCAATGTTAACATGGCGATATAATTGTGTTGCATAAAGCACATCTGCTGCATTGTGAATATAATCCATAAGGAAACAAGTTGGACTTTGAGTTACTTCCATCTGTTGCAGAAAGCTAGCAGGCCTGAAAACTACCCTATGTCTCAGTAACGCCCTGTTAATCTTGGAATTAAAGATTGTGAAAAGTTTCATTGCAATGCAGCAGTAGAATGTAGCTCCAGGCTCGATTATACCAGGAAGTGATTTCCTCTAATTGCACAAAATTGAGGTGTGGCAAATGCTGGCAGGAGCTTGGGTCTTCAATTAAAATGAAATGAATGTCAAAGCAAAATTAAGCAGAAATAGGACCTAGTTCACTCTGACTATTGCAGTTGCTGATAAAATACAAATTACTTATGGTCTGATAATTAACTCTGAAATGCAACAAACACTGCCCCAGGTCATTCGCTGTGACATGCATTTTGCATATTGTTCTGTGTGTGTTTCAGAGAATACCATTGATCATGATTTAAGCTATGTCAATTGTTAGTTGTAACTGTTTTTAATAAAATTCTAATGATGCAAATATATTCTTGCAGCTTCTATATTTCCTGATGTATTTAATATATAGTCAGATGCAACACTTTGCTGATATGTAACAAAAAAATTCTTTGTTCTGGTTTTTTAGTCTGACAAAATAACATACCTGAAATGTTACTCAATCTTTTGCATGTTGTAATCTAGCTGTTGCTTTATTTATTTGTTTCCCTGTCAAATCCACGTTTGATCTTTAGGAAGTAAGTTGCTCAATAATTTTTGTTTTGAATATCTATCTAGTCTATTTCAATTGTATACTGCATTAGCTGTGTTGATAGGCGGTTTTAAGCCTGGAATATCCATAATAATTAAGAAAGGTAATATTTTACCTCTCATTCATATTCTTCAATTTTGGCTTTTTTTTTTGTATTTGGACCGCTTTGTGCTTATTCTTCCCATTACCAAGTCACTAATATAACTTCTCCTCTGGTAAAAGAATTAGAGCTGAGATGTAGAAGCTTTTGCACAAGGCATCTTATTTGTGACATTCATTACTTCAGTCAAAAAGTTTGAGAAAGTATAAAGCATTCACCTGCCATGAAGGTACACTTCTGAATTGAGAAATGAATACAATATTCAGCAATTTCAAGCATGAAAACAAAGATCACAGCCACGACCTCAGCAAAGTAAAACCATCACACCCCCAGCAAATGTGGTATTTTGCATTTCTTGCATTTGTTATATTTTGATATACCCAAAGGAGATTGTCAATGCAGTCCTGAATCTGAAGCATTTTCATGCTCTAGGTGTTGTTCTATTAGGAACTGAGCTAAGAGTGTTTGAATTTGAGTCACATAGCAGTTCAATATCCATTTTACAGTCTTCCACATCCACTATTCCTGCTGTACGACTGCATCTCAACAACGTGTCATATTTGGCTCTGGGTACTAACCACTGGCAGCTGGTGCTTGAGGTGGTTCTCTGCCACCAATCTT